ACATTTCCTGTTTTATTGTTAGAATTCGATATATATACATGATGTGATTTTGCGCGATCACTATTTATTAAGCTTCATCTGATATCCTACAGGCTATCTCAGAACGCTGTGAATTTCAGGACTTCGATGTTCTACAAAACCGGTTAGTAAGAACAACATTTTGCCGGTATATGGCTAATACTAGGATCAGGAACTTAATATGAGATAAAATTGTTAGTTGAACAAACGACCATGTCCCAAGGTCTAAATGATTATAAAAGCTCAAGAATCAGGGAAATTGTGAGTAGCAATTATGTAGCGATCCTAGATGAAGCTATATTATTGTTGGTGCAAGTTGCCCTACAGAATATACACATACCACTGTATCGATATACATTCAAACTGGTCAGTATACGGAACGATGAGGAAATAAATCTGGGAAATAAACAAGATTTAAGGTTTTAAACATTCCATGTTAGACTGGTATGTGCTTTATCGAATGATGCGTTTCTACGGAGTTTGTATAAAACGATCATTTCCCCGTAATTTGTTGCAGGATTTATCCTAATTACACTGTGATGCTTTAAAGTTTATTTAGAGTTTTATTCCCTTCTTCAGTACTGGACTATTCATAAATCATACAGTAAGTATTGAAGAGGGCTGAGGTTTACTAATTTATATGCTACACTGAATAATTTTCTTACACTCGTCATATTGGCGTTCGGATGAAGACAGTTCTTGGATATTTTGGTATTGGTTCAAAAGGGGGAGTCATCGCAGACGATATAGGGCAATTCGAAACTTAGTCCAGACTTAGCAAATATATTAAAAAGGATGAAATTATTGCGCATTTCCCCACACTTGCTGATAAAGGTGTATGATTGAAGACTGTACCGATATTCTGAATCTTGATAACACTTAACTGACAATTTTAACCTTCGATAGTTGACTGGAACGATTCGACTGACCAACGTGCTTAGTCATAAGTCAGACTAACATCATTTCACGATTCCCCAGCCTTGTCTGGTGACGAGCTTTCCTGCTTCTTTGGTGTTCTTAAAGAGAATATGGAATCTTACAGGTGGGATATGTTAAATAGAACAGAGGAAGAAGAGCTAATGTACATAGACCACGACTGCGCTGCCTCACATGGTGGAACCACGTCACGGGGTAATTTATCCACTTTAGTTCTCCATGGTCTTGACGAAGTTTAGTAAATCATTGAACGTCCAGTAATCTATCTTTCTTGTTTATTAAAGTCTTTTATTGTTGCTGACTGGTAGTGAGTTGTATGATTCTCGTAATTCTAATAATTACTATCTTACAACTTGATTACTCACATACGATGAAAATCAAATTTATTCATCCTGTTTTTAAGATAGAGCATCGTTCCTTGTTTTTCAAAAACAGTTTACCCTATTTGATTAGAATTTAGTGCATATCCTTATCAACTCAGTCCCCTAGTGTCCAACAGTGATTGCATGAAGAGTCAGTGAAATATTTGTGGTGTTTGGATGAACTAATGATTCCTTTGTATTTTTTGAATGCTTGGTTTCGAATTCCAAATACTGGCCTATCCGTCTGTCTCTCTGGTTTATTGTTCTGAAATATCGATTAAATCTAGTGAATAAATACATTAAAAAATACCTTCCAACCGTTTTTGCGGTTACCAATCGACTCAGGTACATTCTCAGTATTTTGTCATGTGTCTAAGGGCAATTTTGTGTAAACAACTCCTGGTGTACCTTTTTGCGGAAAGCGCGAATTACGTGAAAGGCGCACACAATAATGTTTGCATGACCGTGTGTGATGCGGATAGCCGCGCTTTCTGCTCGTACTTATTCCATAACAAGTGTTTCCGCCCGTGTAGTTGTTCCCATGATTTCTTTGAATTGATCAAGAATCCACATTACATTTACACGAATTTTCTTTAGCCTCCAAGAAAGCATTACAGGACGTCTTCGGCCGAAATTATCGGCCACAACCAACTGGAATAAGGAATATCTACAAAGTATAATACAACGAAAGGCATAATCACTTATTATTGGTATTATAAGTAGAATCAATACACACAACTTCTGGATATTTATTGTACAACTATTTGGTCATAACTACTGAAACATATTCTCGTTACATATCCATTTTCTAAATGTTCCCTCACTTCTCCATTTTGACACAGCGAATCCATTACCTGCTTCCGAGTACAACAACCTGAAATACATTTTTATACACTTACCTGTGGAGAGTTTAGCTTTCATAGTCTTTACATCAGCAGCGGTGGCCACCTTACCAGTTCACTCCTTGACATTTTCTATAACTTCATCCGTTGACTGGGACTGCAAAATGACTGGCTTCAAATTCTCTTTCTCTTCCGACAACAATCTTCTTGTCCATAGATCACAAACCATCCATGAACTACTACATGGATGATTGTGGAGCATCTTGTAGGATTTGATGACATATTCTTGCTCCTCCAGTCTTACACGGAACTTTGATTGGAAATTAAGGATTCACTTTCAAACCCTCCGAATTACGCTTATGACCAAATGTACAGTGAAACGTAGCAAACAGGTATTTGGACCTGACGTCATTCAGCAACTTGCTTTCCGTGTGAATGTAATGAGTATGGGTAGTCTGAGAAGGGATAAAATTATTCTTCCATACCTTTTGGAACTCTTTTAGCGCGCCATCAAAGTCATCCCAGCATGCGAAACTCATGTTCAGAATCACACTTTGAAAAGCATAGATAAGGTCGACTGAAATGTCATTTGAGCATGAAGCACTACAAACATAAATCATCAATTGTAAAAAAGTTATTCCTTAAAACAACAACAAACCAAGGAAGTACTACAAATACTTAAGATTTGCCGGTGACTTGGCATTTCGTTTAGGTTTACTACAGCAGTTGGGATCACAAATCAAGTTACGAAGCGGCAACAGAGCCAACGTGTACACTACAAGACAGAGAACGCTAAATTAGTGCTTTTGGCAGTTATTTTGTGCTTTTTAATGGAGCAAAAGATGACTTAATTATGAAAAAATTTGATACTCATGCAACCCAACAAACACACAGCAATCGAAATACGGAATGACCGCCTCTTGCCAGGCCGTTCAAGGTCGTTCAAAAGAAAGAGCGGGCTGCTTCGAACGGCCCCGACGTTTTTCTCGTGCTGTACATTCGTTCGTGCTTATCTAGTACTTCTTGATCCAATTGTGTTATTTCTGGGATTCTTAGTTCGTACTATAATTCAAATACCCTTAATTATCACAATATTACTGAACTCATGCCAAGCCATCCGGCAGTTGGTTTAATGAATGTCGAACGGTTCACCGATACTCGTCAGGTTCACGGACAATGAACGCGTATTAGTTAATCACACTCCATATCTTCATAACGGTTCAGGTCACAAGCAAACGACTAGATTGAGCTCAGAGAAAAACAAAACTCGTCTTCCACAATGAGTGAGTGTTGATTACGCTATTATCAACCATAGGTGTTTGGCCGAGAATAAACTTTTGCATAAGTTCAGCGGAACAATGTTAGGGGAAGTAATCTTATCGTAGTCTCAAGGGCGTTACATAAACTCACATACGTGAGAGTTTTTGACCATTTCGGCTTCCTTGTGGTCATATTTCCCCCTAGGATTCAGTACGTTAACCAGTAATACTCAGAACTATCCAATTTGTGATTTGGTTGTCGCAAATGGACCAATATACAAATCAGAGAGAACCTTGTGAGCACAACTAAATACTTTGCATTCGGAATACCAATAATGTATAAAGGGATAATCATTAGGAATTCGTGATTAAGGATAGCTCAGCGTGAGTTACATCTGGAAGAATTCGCAAGTTGGGAAGATGGACCAAGAAGCCTGTTTTTCATGTATTTCATTGACATCAATATAATTCAGTCATACTCAGTCAGACTGGGACTAAAAGTTGTTTTAATCGCAGTTCGGAGATCGGTACACCGTTCATATATAGTTTTTACGTGCCCACAAGTACTAACGATTCCACAAACTCTTGTTTTTAAGTTTATGCAGAGAGAGCGAAGTCAAACTGCAGGTCAACAGATTTGCATGTGTTTTTATTAAGAATCATATTATTGTTGGATGCGGAGACATTGGCTGCAATTAAACGCAACTCAATTTCGTAAATGTGCCCTTCAGCTTAGCAACCAATCAGGATCCTACAAATACGGTACATTCGATTATGCCATCGGTGGTAAGTAAATTCGTAAAACAAATCGTTCTGTAAGTTCCCAACATTGATGACGACCTTGTCAGTCTTAGTGCAAACGCCGTAGCCGAGTGCGCTTGACCACGTAACCACACCAGATCAGGAGTGGGTACACCACGTTGCTCATCCCTTGCAACTATTAGCCAGCTTGGACCAAATGCTTTTCAACATATCGATAGTCTATCAAATATGTCTTCAAAACTCTCCATTTCTAGCTTTTGATTAGACCGGGTTGGCGTACTTCGATTAAAAAGGTGTTAAGGTTAAAGAAGTTGTCAAACTCCGATCACTTGTGGCATGTCTAAACTCTTAATTAATCCATCGTGACCGTCATCTTTGCTCACCTGAATTCCGAGATTCGTTTTTCACATTGCAACAAATAAAGCTCTTGCCACGTGATATGGTAGCTACTGATCTTACTATCATCACTGTGTTAGAACAAACACACTCTGTTGTACTCAAGAAAAAGGTCATTATCAAGTTTCCTGGAATTTTTTCAGCCAAGAGACCAGTTCAGTTAGGCTGGACGATATCAAAGGTTTGCAGCCGTACAGTAACATCGACAAGAGAACACAGAAAAATTCCTCGGTTTATGCGGGCTGGCCACAAAGATATTGTATCTTGATCAACAACTTGAAGAGGTGAATTAGCTTCTAAAAAAGGATGTGGGTTCTCATAGAAGATCATCGTTCGGAGAATAAAACAATCCAGCAAGCATATTATTCGTAATACTAGAGACGGCAAAGAGACAAGGTTATTTCTATTTAACAAAGTTTGTGGTTTGAAAGATTGACCTTGAGGACAGACGCATCCGCGGTTGCTAACAATTGTTTATAATTTAAGGGTGCAATCGGCTACCGTGTGCTATAACTTAGAATCATAATACCACGATGGGAGAACAACAAGAGACAGTAAGTGAAAATTTGAAGTCTATATTTTACTCTCATTTAGAGGGACAGTGTCACACATGGTTCATACTATTTGCAAATTGCTTTTAATCCTATCATGGGCTTAGATGAGGATATTGAAGCATTTACTGAAGAATTCGCCGATTTAGGCAGTCCTCGTTTTGTGGATTTCGCGGAGCTCTGGAAGAAGTACAAACTGATCCATTTAATTCAGGGGAGGCAGTGCCAACACGGTTTATATGACATAGTTGGCTGCATTTTTCATCGGTTGGTTAGTCTGTTTCAGCCAACCTTATCTAAAAACAAGTTAGTTCGTATATGCGCACTCTACCTTCTCTATGCTTTCCACGGGAAGCAGCCCATTCGCAATCATGTGAGTTTTAGTGCTTCTTGACATCTGCTTAAATAAGTTGAATGCATAATAATAGCTACGGTAAGGATTATTGACATGTCACAAATCAAATATTTTCTCCACTAGTGCTACCCCAGGTGTCAAATTACTATCTCGTATAGATTTCCGAAATAATTATACAAGACTGTCACCTAACTCAATAGTATTTTCCTTTGTTATCGTACCATTGAAACTTCAGAAACGTAATAAGATTAGTACACACCTTGGTTTATATTCATGGGAGTACCATATCGGCACGTTATTCACATAACTTGTTGCTTATCCCATCAAAAGTAAGTTGTAAATGATTAGTAGTGCTTTCATAATTTATATTATATGCATTAGGAAGCAGACAACTTTTTGCTTGCCTTAGTTACCTGGGCTTGATTAATTGATGGATATCTTTCATCTAGTCCTTTGTTCGGTAAAAGAAGTGTTTCCGACCAGCGTGTTTGCATAGCTAATTATTTCCCCAGCCAGTGTTCAACCATCTTATTTTGGAGAAAGATTACTTGTTGCTCAACCTTAATTAGTAGACATGAATTTTATTTTGTCTTCATCTTAATTTGTTTTTGGAAATTTAAGTAAGCTTTTGATGATCAACTGCACTACTAATAGTTTCTTACAAAAACGTTGGCGCGTTCCCTACGATGTCAGTGTCGACCTACTTGGTGAGAAGTTTGAAGGTTTTAATTGATATACGGCAGGGTTATTGCTATTCATAGATCATTAATAGTTGAAAGTCCTTTTCATAAGCTAGTGTTTTACGTACTGCGTATGATGGATATCCACATCCCGATTGTGAGATACGATATTTTGTACAATCCAGATTCTACTCTAATTCACTAAATACTAAATAAAAGATAAAACATATTCACTAATTGTTAAAGGGCTTTTGTACACCTGCAACCAAATATTTGACGAACGAACAAGTGTTCTTTGCAGATTCTTACATGGTTAGGGATTATTTATTTATCCTCTTTAATTTACAGTCCTCATTAATATTATAGGAGTTACTTAAACTTATTGTTTTGTAAAAATGTTACTAAAAGTAAGCTCTTCAATGTATTGTATAACCATAGAAGTAGTTCTAGTTGATATTTACGAAACATGAGCTTACCGAGTCAGGTTATTTGCTTTTCTTGTTGAATACTTTCAAAGTAGTTTTAGGTAGGAAAGGTAAATCAACTTACGAAGTGTGTCGGCGGAGTTAATACAGATAAGTGTTGCACGTGCTTTAGTAACACCTGTACGTGCGTATTATTTTGTCAGGCTGAAATGCAATCTTGAATTGCTCATTTTGATTAGATAAGGTACAAGTCTATTGAGTATAGGCTCTTTACCCTCGGCCACTGGTTATTAACATAGCTTTAGGCTTTGAGTAGTGAGTAAAGGTAGATTCTTGCGTTTAAGAGATTTAGAACTCTGTTATTCTGGTTTTAATTATCTCTTTTCTACCTTTTCTAGCTCTTGATGTTATTAGTGGGTTGTTTAATCGTATAAGTCAAATAGTATTTCTAAGCAACATCACTAAAAAATTTACGAGCTTTGATTAGAAGTTTGCTCTGCTGCTGGTGACCCAAAAGATAATAAAAACTCAACGATTTGATCGTTGAACCTGGGGAACACAACGTTACCAAGATCCCCCTACTGCGCTACAATGCTTTTAATTTTATCAGTATGAGGTTGTCGGATTTCATTTAAATTATGAATCAATATGTCAGATCATTAAAAACCTGGAGGCACTGTGTGGCCGCTTAATCCTGGTACAAGAATCCTCAACTGTGTACGTACATGACCGCATACGTGGGAATCGAACCCAAGACCTGTCTCGCGCACGAAAATTCAACCTTTTGATCTCTGAGCCAGCATCCAACGGTGTTAATGTCTAACTTTAATCAATTCATGATACTGTGTAACTATCTTTTATTGTCGTTGCTGGGTAACTGCTTCACACCCAGCACGATTTAGCTCCACTGATCACTGCTTCTCACTAGAACCCCGGAACTTTCCTTTCAAAGCTAGTCACTAATGAGGGCATAATAATTGTCAGTATAGGGTTGTGGAGATTGTCAGGTTTCATTAAAATCATGAACTGCACTGCTGCAGAACCTCATACTGGGACGAAAAGGCTTTCCGGGTTTTCAGTGGTAATCTACCTTAAATCGACTGATGATTTCAATGAAATTTCAGTTTTATGTTAGACTTTTTGCTAACTTAAAATATGTAATTGGAAATTATTTTGCTTAAAATATCCCCTACTTTGGTCCATTTGGTAACAAATTAGTATGTAACACTGAAACCACTATATTTGAAGATAATTCCACTTTACTCAGTTTTTTTCTTAGCTCGGTTTGTTAACACTACCATAACTTATGATCAGCAACTTTAAATGACGCGGTGGCGCACGTCCACTCATTATTCATCTACCTGTCAATCTTAGAAATAATATTACTACATTTTTCTCATTCCTCTCAGGCATTTTCCCTTATTTTCGGCTTGTTAATATTGTTGATCTTATTTTTATTTCTTCACATGTTGGCTTGCTAATTATTTTGCTGCACTAATGTGAGATATAGAGATTTAAAGTGATTCACAGTGTAAGGTATTACGTTGTGTATAGCTGTCTGTCCTAATTTTCCAAAGTGACGTTAAGTCTCATTTCGTTTCTTAACGTTTGTTAACAGCACTCAAGACCACTGTATTCATAATCAACCTTCGTCTTCACTTCCTATTATTCCTCCTACATCGACTTTCACCCCTAAACTTCCTTTTTCGGCTTCCCCCTCAAGTGTCACCATAGCCAACGATTCTAGTGCTGAAGACACTGTCCCAGGTCTACTGAAACCTCGCTCTAAACTACACATTGGAGCCTTCGATCGGTCAACAGACTTCCTTGGCTAGAACCCTAGAATCTCGTACCACTGATGTATGCTGTGTCTCTGAAACACGCATACAGGATCCCAGTGTGGTCATTCACTTGACCTCACTTCGGCAACACGGTGAGCTAACGAGATACACCCTCCGTGTATCTGGTGACCCGACAGCCAGCTCTCGTGGACTGGCAGGTGTAGGGACAGCACTAAGCATGAGGGCGGAACAAGCTCTGTTAGAGTGGATCCCCGTTAACAGTCGTTTATGTGCTGTTCGGCTAAACGGCTCCGTAAGAACTCGGAAGGATAGGGACACATGTCGTTGCCTTTTTGTCGTTTCTGCCTACGCTCCCACCGACTGCAGCTCAGATGAAGTGAAAGATGAATTTTACAGAAAGCTATCTGAACTTCTTCAGAAAGCTAAACATTCAGACATAGTACTCGTAGCAGGTGACTTTAATGCCCAAATAGGTAGTTTAAACCAAACAGAAAGGCATTTAGGTGGATATTTTAGCATTCCGGCACAGCGAACAGATAATGGTGACCGTCTGCTGCAACTGTGCTCAGACAATCGTTTATTTTTAGCAAACACAAATTTTAAGCATAAGGAGAGACATCGTCTAAAATGGCGACCCCCTACACCAAACAAACGATGGACTCAAATAGACCATATTGCCATCAGTCGTCGTTGGAGAGGGTCTGTAGAAGATTGTCTCTCATTCTGGAGTACCTGCTTGAACTCCGACCATGCCCTAATACGGGCACGCATCTGCTTGCGCCTCACTGGACGCAAAAAAGCCACAGTAAGAAGACCTCTTAGAACTGATTTAAGTAGCGAGGAAACCAAATGTAGGTTCCAGGAACAACTGAGGTCACAATTAGGTAGTTCTGAAAACGAGGCTGACCCAGATGTTGCTTGGAAAAATATACAAACAGCTGTGGAAACAGCAGTGACATATATCAATGATTTAAACCACAGGGTTACAAAGAACCAATGGATTTCCTCAAGGTCTATTACACTGATGGATTCTCGCAAACTCATCCCATCAGGCTCTGAATACGATGAAGAGCGACAACAAATCAGATCTAGGTTAACCAAAAGTCTAAGGAACGACCGTGAGCAGTGGTGGGCAACGAAAGCAAAAGAGATGGAAAAGGCGGCGGCTATAGGAAACACAAGACAGCTCTACAGACTAATAAAAGAAACTGGAATTGACAAGTCAAGTGTAAGTCAGACTATTTCGGAAAAAGACGATACCCTCATCTGCTCTCAGTCCAGCCGTTTAGAACGATGGGCGGAACATTTCAGAGAACAGTTCAGCTGGCCTTCAGCTACTCTACAACTACCCTCCATTCCCAGACAGTGTGAATGGAACATTGAAGTAGGTCCCCTAACTCTTGCTGAAGTTCAAAAGGCTATAGTTAATCTGAAGCGAGGAAGGGCAGCTGGTCCAGATGGACTGGCTCCAGAGGTCTTTAAGGATGGTAGTCCAATTTTAGCGATTAGGTTGACTAATATTTTAGCTAAGATCTGGGAGTTAGACGTTATCCCATCTAACTGGTCACAATCACTTATCGTCCCAATATATAAGAAAGGGTCAAAATGATCCTGTGACAACCACAGAGGGATTAGTTTAACTAATATAATATCTAAAATACTAGCTTCGATAATTATCAGACGCCTAACTAAGACTCGTGAACTGCAAACACGAGAGAATCAAGCTGGCTTCAGACCTGGTCGTGGCTGCATCGACCACATATTCACCATTCGTCAGGTTATAGAACATAGGCATACTTATCGGCGTCCGACAATGGTGGTCTTTCTTGGCTTTTAAGCAGCATATGACTGTAGACTAAGAGGTTCTGTGGCAGTGTCTGTCATTGAAAGGCGTATTTCAGAAGTACATAAACCCTGTGAAGGCTGTTTACTCGAACACTATCAGTCTAGTCAGAGCTTATGGCGAACTGTCATCTGTTTTTATAACCTCAAGTGGTGTCCGTCAAGGCTGTCCACTTTCCCCATTTTTGTTTAACTTCATCATAGACCTATTGATGGAAATAACATTCTCGTCTACTGAATTTTCGGGTATTGATCTCCTTCCAGGAGGTCCACTTATCGACTTAGAATACGCAGATGATATAGTCCTGTTTGGTGAAGACGCTGATAAAATGCAGAGTCTTTTGGTAGCACTAAGCAACAGTGCCAGAATGTTTGGAATGCGCTTCTCTCCCTCTAAATGCAAACTGCTGCTTCAGGACTGGTCTGTATCTACACCTGAACTAAGGATAGGGAGTGAAGTAGTCGAACACGTTGATAACTTCACTTATCTTGGAAGTCTGATCAGCCCTAATGGGTTGGTGTCTGACGAAATCTCAGCACGGATTCGAAAAGCTCGCCTGACTTTTGCCAACTTACGTCACCTTTGGCGAAGGCGAGATATCCGTCTATCAATAAAAGGACGAGTATACTGCGCGGCAGTCCGTTCTGTTTTAATTTACGGCAGCGAAACATGGCCATTAAGAGTAGAAGACACTCGTAAGCTATTAGTATTTGACCACAGATGACTTAGAAATATTTCTGGCATCTTCTGGGATCACCGGGTAAGTAATAGTGAGGTTAGACGCAGGGTATTAGGGAATGATGATAAATCAGTTGATGAGGTTGTGAATCTTCATCGGCTGAGATGGTTGGGCCACGTGTTACGTATGCCTGAACACCGATTATCACGACGTGCAATGCTAACCGGTGTTCAGGATGGTTGGAAGAAAGTTAGGGGCGGCCAAACCAAAACGTGGCATCGGTGCTTGAAGTCACTAACTTCTAGTCTGAGCCGTGTTGGTAGATGCAGACTACTTGGTTGGGGTCCGCATGACTATCGTAACCAATGGTTGGAGACTGTGAGTGACATGGCTCAGAATCGATCACAATTGCATCGATGTATACACTCTGTCTTCCCTTAAACTAAGAGATTAAAATAGCTTCATATCTTTCTTTCTACTAACTAATCCCTTCTTCCTGTGTTATATCCTTATTTCAATCTTTCTTTTATATACTACCACCTCTGAATTAACTACTTTTATGAATCCGGTGTCCATCTTGTTGTGTTAATGAGGTATGGCAACTTGAACCGATGCATATATGTGCCTGGTCCTACGTTGTAGCTGACTGACTGACTTACTGAGGTAGTTGGATGTCCACTTAATCAATTTATTGCACATCTTCACCTCAAATGGAAACATTTTCTCCGTTAGACTTTTGTTTAATCACCTTCAAACTGGGTTCTCCGTCAGTTCATTGGTAGAATGCTCACCTGCTACACGGACTGTCCCGCCAGATGCTGACCGCTTAAAGTGGTCAAGCCAGAACGTAACATCAGTCCATGAAAACAGTGATCATCGGACTAAGCCATGTAGCTAGCTGCAAAATACCTGGTTGGAGTCTGTAAAGTTATCGTAACCAATGGTTGGAGACCATGAGTGACGGCTCAGAATCGTTCGCAATGGTGCACGTACGTTCGCTCTTCGTTTTCTTTTAGATCCCAAGTTTCTAAATCACTTTATAATTATTTTATTTACTCCAATAGTCCACATTTTCTTCTCGAATTGTATCTTCAATGCCTAATCTTAGCCATTACCACTAATACTGTTATTACCTCCAAAACTTTCATCTCGCTTTGTTTATTGAGTGTGACTACCTGAACTGATGTACATATCTTTCAAATTCTTTGTCGTGTATGGCCGACTGAAACTAAATTTATCTCGGCATCACAAAATGGATTCAACATTGAAAATTTACGGCATTATTGTTCGTCTAAGTTGTATCATGAAGGTATCGTGCTTTCTTGGTAAGTTTTAGATGTGTTCCTGATGATAGCGGAAATTAAGTTCAACATGAAGCTTTTGTTGCTTAGCTATATTTTTTGATGTTAAAACACCCATGAAATTTCATGCCTAACTCAATTCTATCTGCTTATAAAACTAATACTCCAATGTTTTATGTATTCTTATTTGGCTGACTAATAGGTTCATATACGTGTTTGTCCTAAAAGTTGGTCTTGGATCTTACAGGTTGCTACGGAGGCTCGTGACGAAGGACACTTAGATGTCTATTACGTTTTTCGGAAACTATGTGCTGCAAATGCATTTTTATTTTGTGCAATGCGGCAAGTGTTATATCCCGGGGCCCCCCTTTTTGACAGTCCTGCTGTGAATCGGGATGATTTTACAGAGGGCCGTACCGCCTCGCCAGCTGAAGACCTATCCGATGTTTCAAAAGCTACTTTCAGTCATCGACGTGACCTTCTCACTTGTTCTCTACCTGTTGTCAAAGCTCTTCAGGCTCCTTCAGGATTAAACCAAACGGTACAGTGTTTAAATATGAGTTTGTCGCGTTATGCTGAGGCCAAACGTTTACTTACACAAAAACTTAGGATAAATGATGGAAATATTGCTTTGGATTCTTCGAAAACACAAGGCACTGATGGAATGGAAGATCCAGAGGAAGAGTACTTGCCAGGCCTAAATCTTGTAACTTTCCCCGTAAGTATTATAGTTAGGTTTCTTCTAATCACTTTTACGATGTAGTGGTACGAAATTGCTGACTTTGTTAAACTATTCTTAGTTAGAAAAAAAACGGAAATTCTTAGGAATACCTTAAGTAGCCGTAATTCTGCCAAATAATCATAGTTTATGTTAGAAGTGCTATGGTGAAAACGCAATAAACATACGATTGCCCCAGCCTCTTGACCCCTGCCTTTGGTATGTTTTCACTAATCATGATCTTTTTTGAAATAGGCCTTGTTAATAAGCTTATGTAACTGCTAACCATTGCCCCATTTTTATGAATTTTCCGTCGTTTTTCCTCCTGCTAATCACCTTTACATAGGGACTATTTCGAAAGCTGTTTATACGTCTTCCCGATCGTTACTGCTACCTTGGCGTAATGGTAGGGCTTGCCTATCGTGATGAGCCAGTCGGGTTATACTGGCTGGAGCAATCGCTCCTCCAGGTCCTACCAGGCCAGGCAGGTTGGTTGAAGAGCGGTAAGACTAAAAGCGAAGTCGTACTGCTGATTGTTCGGAGGTGTGACGGCAGTAAGGTGTTTCCTTCAGATAGTCAGCATAACAGCGGTGCTGCCTTCCCACAAGGAGGAGTGGGGTTAGAAAAGGTCGATCCTAAAAATCCACACCTCGCCTTATCCTATGGGTTTCCGTCTCTGTCAGTAAGGTCCCAACAAGTACGAAGCTAACACGAAAACTACTCACAAAATGATCGTATGTGACCGGCCCCAAGCAGTTGTCCCTTGGGCACTGCGGTTACGCTCTCAGGTCACTAAGACCAACTCTAACTCAATTTCCTTTCAGGTGCCTCGAGAAGAACCCTTCCACAGTGTGAGCGATCGGGAAGTGAAAACCGCCCTCATACCTCTAAAAGCGCTCAAGACCACTGATTGACTTATCCGTCTGCGTTTAAGCATGTTTATTTATTATAGCTAAAGTAACTTAAAATATTACTCATGCATCAGTTTGTTTTGATGAGGCTTCAGTTTTCCTTTGAGTTTAAACACTATGTGGCTTCACGTCGCTAAGTGTTTTGCCTTGACATCTCTACAAAGCGAATACAAAATCGGGTCGCATTAGATGTAAATCAGTGCCACATTCTGTTAATATAAACTTTTATTTTTAAGTACAAACATGATTTTTCTCATCCTTAAATCAACTATGGATACATTTTTAATAGTACATTTTTCGTATACGTCTAGATACAAAGATATATGGATTTAAACTATTCTGCAGTTAAAATGTGAAAAGGTAATCTAAAAAGAGCCAATATCTTTCTGAGACTATCTAGAGCTTACAGCTATTCTATACTCAGTACTTATGTAAGCTTCTAATAAGAACATGTGTTGTCAACTAAATGGAAATCAGTTCATTTTCAATCATGTGTTTCATTAGTCTAAAAATTTGTTGAGCAATTTCATATGCGGTATCTCTATGCATCAAAGTATATCAATCCATAATTCTGAACTGAGTAGGACTGCCAGAGAATTCCTACTCACTGCTTTCTCGCGACGTAGGTGTTGTTTACGAAATTGAGGGGACGAAAAGCGAATATCCGGCACTTTAACCGGGTTGGTGGATATGGAAGATCCACCTTTGGTAATTGGAAAACACTGATTTCAAACTAACGGTACACATTGACTTCATGATCCTGAGGGAACAAATGGCGTATGAACCTATTGTTGGTTACCACCTACCATAGGACTGCATCTCATAACGTTGCTCCATTGCCTTGTGGATTAGACCTCTAGGTCATAGGCTCGGGGAGTGGCCCTCTAGGAAAACCACCTGCTTCAGTTTTGGCGCCCGAAGAGTATTTCAGCCCGGCGCATATGTACCTGATGCATCCTTGTATCAATGTTTATGTGTTTAAATAAATAAATACCGGTAAATTTAGACGCCAGGTAAAGTATTTTCCAGGTGATCCAGATTTTGGAGCGGATCCTTCGTAACTTGAGTTTCTCGAAATATACTTGTGGCCATTTATTTTAACACACAAATATTGGTACAAGGGGGCACCAAATACATATGCGCCACACCATCAAATTTGTTTGAGGGCTGTGATACTGCCCGGGTATTTATTTATTTATTTATTTTAACACATAGACATTGGTACAAGGAGGCACCAAATACATATGCGCCACACAAATCTCATTCGATATGTGTGAGGGCTGTGATACTGCCCGGGTGCCCAAACCGAAGCAGGTGGTTTTCTTAGGGGGCCACACCCCGAGCCTTCGACCTGAAGGTCTGATCCACAAGGCAGTGGAGCATCGTAAGGAGATGCAATCCCATGGAAGCCGGTGACCAACAATTGGTTCATACGCCATTTGTTCCCGCAGGATACTGGAGCCCATGTGCACCATTGGTTTGGAATCCGGTTAAAGCGCCGGACATTCGCTTTTCGTTCTCTCGTTTTCGTAAACAACACCCCCGCCACGAGAAGGCAGCGAGTAGGACTTCCCTGGCAGAGGCCATATACGCGTGGCCATGTGAGAGCATTTCGAGAGGGAGAGCGGACTCTCCCCACTCTCGGCCGTACTAGGGCATTTTGTGGGATCGTGGCCATTGTTGTACGCTGATAACTATTTCTTAACGAAATAATGATGTAACCCGTAAAGTTTATTAAATTTGGCATTCAAACCTAATATAATTATAGGTTAATAACTTTACCTTTTTTCCTCACTTCTTATAACGTCATAGGATTCCCTAAATCGTATTGAGATACTTTCAATGGAATTGGAAAACTCAACCAAACAAAATAGCCTTAAAAATCGTTTTACTCCCGGCACAAAGTCCAGTATGCATAGTCCTTCGGTTAAAGCGTCTCCTTCAGTGGATGTAAAAGTTCCAGATATCGAAAATCTCCTTGAAACACCACGTATTGGCGTAGTAGTTGGTGCTGGAATAGTTGGGTGTAAAATGATAAGTCGTAAAAGTGCTGAGAACAGTCCAGTTTCTCAACCTTCTGACATTCAACAAATTAGTAAACATTCTTCGCCCTCAAAAACCACCACTTCAAATTCGTCAAAAAAGTCTGAGGAAACAACAACCGATGTAAAAGAAGCCGTTAGTTGGGGTGAAAGAATTCGACTCTTAAAAAGGCCCTCAACGTGGGCTAAAGAATTAGCGGAACAAGCCGAAAGTGTGTACAAGGATGGTTGCCGCCGAAGTAGGCGACGTCCGACAGACCCCAAGGTTATTACTGCATCTACAAGTAGAAAACAACAAAGAAAGTCCTTCAGATAAATGAATTATATTTTTTTTGCTAATATTTGTATATTTTCCTGTATTTAATTTCAAGTTGTTTCTTTTAATAAAATCGGCAAATCGTTTAAGAAATAATGCTTTAAGTTTTAAATTTTGCATGTTTGTGCGTTTAGTTTTACTGTGTAGAAAATATAATTTTATGTTATTTTGTAGCGATTGAGATCAAAGGTAATTGTGTAAAAATCGTTTCACATGAATAACATGATATTTTCCGGGACTTATCATACTTATAAATGTCATAACAAGAAAAGATTACGGAGACAAGGCATTACGATCAAAAGTAATGTTTTGATTGGGATATCAGTCTCTAGCAATGTAGTGGATAGAAGACAATTTGTTCTTTCTCCCAGCTATGTATCATATGTAAAATCATTTCTAAATAAGAACTAAGCCATTTCATCACAATTTGAAACTCACCAGTTTGACAGTGACCACAGTCTTTGCAAGACAAAAGCAAAATAAATGGATAATACAGAGGAGACAGATAACACTAGACACTTATTTAGGCTTATCAGAGAGACTGTGACTAAAAATTCAACCTTTGTTATCACCAAAATACACTAAACGATCACCCACTCTCAGATCGTGCAATTGGAATGATCGATAGAACATTGAAAAGCGATTCAACAAGTAGCCTCCAGCTATCTTGTATTTCTCCACCATTCATAAACATTTTGAATGCGAGGTCGATTTCGAATATTCAACTCTTAGCGAATTCGTAAAGATTATAACCGACCTAAGCTTAAGTAGATTAGCAGGCACATGTAGTTTAATTTCAGTGGTATTTAAGGGATGTTGATCCAGTTTTGATATTGACTAAGGTGTTTGCTAGAGTTTAAAATCTGGACGTAATCCAATCAAATTGGTCGCGACTATTGATCGCCCTTGTTTATAATGAAGGACAGAAATCCTCTTTTGTTATGATCATAGAGTAAAGAATTTATCTAATATAGCGTTTATGATATTAGCATAAGTATGCATCTGACACTTACATGGATTTTACAGACAATAATCTCGTGAGAAACAAAATCTCACACCCGGTTTTGGATATTTAGATCAAATATTCGTCCTTCGATGAGTTTTGGTATTCAAACTTATCGAGGGCTGAATGTAGTTGTACTTCATGACCAGAAGGTTGCATTCGATTTTGTAATCGATGTGCTCTGCTGGGTTGTCTGTTATTGCAAGATGTATCATAAATTATCAGTCTGCTGAAGGTTTTTTACTCGAACACTACTGGTTAGGTTAAAGCTTACGGTGAATAGTCATTAGAATTGGCGATATCAAGTATTGCTCTCTAGAACTACCCACTTTGCCTCTGTCATTAGTGGGGTTCTTGTGGCAATTCTCCATGTAATGTTTTATGGATAAATTATCTAGCCAGATATACCTTGATTAATTTAGAGTATGCGAACCGCATATTCCTGTTTAACAAAACTGATGGGAAAATACAGTCTTATAGACGCTTTGAGTAACGATACAAGGATTTTGGCGTTGGGTTTCTATCCCTTTGAATGGAAAGTGTTGCCTTAGTATCTGATTTGATCATAAAGGGAAAAGTAGTAGAGTACGTTGACCTCTTTAATTATCTTGGGTGCTTTATCTTCCCTAATTGGTCGGTAGCCTATGGAATTTCCACATAGGTACGAAAATCTATTTGGCCCTTACTAAGTAGTACTCCATTCAGTTCAAAAAAGATGTCTATTTGCCTAGCATATTGTTCATCAGTTTGTTTTTCACTGTCTTACGACTGTGAAATACGATCTTTTGAGGCAAAAAACATATTTAAACTCTAAGTATTTGATCTTAGGTGTTTTAAAAGTATTGCGCATGATGGAGTTAATGAGCACGTTGTTTGATTGGGCTGCAGATCATCTACTGATGTAGTTATGGTATATGTTACTCATACCTAGTCAATTATCACGACATGCAACAATAGTTTGCACAAGAGTAAGATGGAAAAAATATAAGTGACAAAGAAACCAAGGAATAGCATTAGCCCATATAGTCATTAAGTACTAGTCCAAGTTGTGAAAGCCTATATAAACGGTTCAGTAGGAGCCGGCCCGAGATACTCACCATATTTACACTTATTCTTTATCTAAGTCCTTAACATAGTATTATTCGGCATTTACTGTTCTTTGATCTAATCACTTCTTTCCAAACTGTTTCCATTTTATTATTTATTTATTTGAACACATAAATACTGGTACAAGGGGGCACCAAATACATATGCGCCACATCATCAAATTTGTTTGAGGGCTGTGATACTACCCGGATGCCCAAACCGAAGCAGGTGGTTTTCTTAGGGGGCCACACCCGGACCCTTCGACCTAAAGGTCTGATCCACAAGGCAATGGAGCATCGTAAGGAGATGCAATCCCATGGTAGCTGATGACCAACAATTGGTTCATACGACATTTGTCCCCTCAGGGTACTAGAGCTTATGTGCACCATTGGTTTGTAATCAGGGTTTTGCAACTCCCCTAGGTGAACTCTCCGTGTCCACCAACCCTGTTAAAGTGCCGGACATTCGCTTTTCGTCCTCTCAATTCCGTAAACAACATCCCTGCCACGAGAAGGCAGTGAGTAGGACTTCCCTGGTGGAGGCTATATACGCGTGGCCATGTGAGAGCATTTCGAGAAGCAGAGCGGACACTCCCCACTCTCGGCCGTACCAGGGCATTTGGGGGCAAATGTTTTCATTTGGATTGACATTATCATCTTCTGCCCTTCGCGAAGTTTTTACTTACACTGTGCCGATATATATATATATATATATATATATATATATATATATATATAGAGAGAGAGAGAGAGAGAGAGAGAAAAGAATTACTGGATCCAGTTTCTTATCATTTCTTATGATTTTTATTTGGTTACTAATTCAAATGCAGACACGAATAGGTTTTCTTTTAAACTTTTTAAAAGGATCTATAATATTTTGTTGGATTTGAATGGTTGTTTACAAGTAATGTCTCCAGTTACGCTTAGAAATGAAAACAAACCACAACTACCCAATAACTTAAGGTAACAGTTTCTTTTATACTTATAAGTAGTATTCCAAATGTATGTTAAATTTATTCTGAAATATAAGTTTTTTATTTTATAATATATTTTCTTCACGCATTATATCGCTCAATGTCTTTTGAACTGCTGAATAATATGCTTCCATGGTGTTGAATCCTGTTCAGTATTTTTTGCAAGCATGAGAGATTATGTATTTTGTGTTTATCAGATAATTATTAATATATTTTTCTATGTTATGTTTTATATGAACATTCATCAAAATTTGAAGAAATGGCTTAACAGAAATCCGGTTTCAAATATATAGAAGATATTAAATATAAAATTATTTTTGAAATGATTTCAGCGACTGAAGCTTGGTTTAAGGCCCGACATTCAAACAGGCAATTCTAGTTTCGTTAAATATAATTAAAGTTAAAAGGAAATTAATACATTTCGTGTATTAGACCTCTGCACTTCTTCCACACATCTTTTTCATATAATACACCATACTACTTTACAATATTCAGTAGCTTATTTTCGTTCGACTAAATTTCAAACATCACTGAATCGTTGATTCCATACACACTATTATTTCTATAGATTGACTTGTTTGTACTCCCAGATAACAGTTCTGTTTTTTTTTCGATTCCCTATCGTCTACACCACCACTCGAAGCTTTGTTTGCCTTAAAAGGCTTGCATCCTTCAAAATTATGGCTTCTGATTGGTTCTTTGCTTGTTACCAGTAAATGTTTTCGCATATCATAAATCTCTTATCTACTCCCTTCAAAGGGGTGTGATTTCTGTTTCACGATACTTTGGCAGAGCAACAGATTATAAGGTACCGCAATGTTTGAGGTCTGTAAACCTTTATTCCTTATATCCGACCGTAGCTGCTACCTTGACGCGGTGGTCGGGCTTGCCTATCGTGATGACCCAACCGAGCTATATTGGCTGGAATATCTGTTCCTGTAGGTTTTACCACGCTAGGCAGGTCGATTGGAGAACGGTAAGACTAAAATCAGCAAATCAAAGTCTGAGGGCGGAGTCGTACTGCTGACTGTAGAGAGGTGTGACAGAAGTAAGGTGTTTCCCTCGGACAACCAGCATCTACAGCGATACTGCCCTCTCACGAGGAAGGAAGGGGTTAGAAAAGGTCGACCCTAAAAATGTCACACCTCACTTTACCTCACGGATTTCCGTCTCCGACGGTAAGGCCCTTTGAAGAACGGAGCTAACACATTAAAAACCTTCCACGAAAAGGCCGTGCGCGACCGGCCTCAAGCAGTTGTCCCTTGGGCTCTGCGGTCACGCTCCCAGGTCGTCAAGACCAACATTAATCCAATTTCCTTTTCAGGTTCCTCAAGAAATACCCTTCCACGGTGTGGGCAGCGGGGAAGTGACATCAGCCCTCATACCCGTAACAGCACAAGAGACCAAGGTGGTCACATTCAAATCCTTCCTTACACCTCCTAATACCTCTCTTATCTCCACGACTAACCCTCCTCACATCTCTTTATCACCTCGCACCGCTAGGGCAAACGATTCGAGTACGTGGAACGTTATTCCTGGTCTCCTGAAACCACGCTCTAAACTACATGTAGGAGCTTTTAACGTACGAACACTTTGCCAAATAGGACAGCAGGCTTCCTTAGCTAAAACTTTAGAATCTCGCGCCATCGATGTGTGCTGCGTCTCCGAAACGCGCATACAGGATCCGAGTAGCGTCATTCATTTGACCTCACCATGCCAAAATAAAGAACCGACTCGATTCACACTTCGTGTATCTGGGAGCCCTGATTCTGCTTCCCGTGGCCTCGCCGGCGTAGGTATAGCATTGAGTCCTAGGGCAGAACTACCTCTCTTAGAGTGGACCGTTTGTGCACTGTCCGACTGAACGGAACAGTAAGAATCCGAAAAGATAGGGACACTCGCCGTTGCCTCTTCGTTGTCTCTGCCTATTCTCCCACTGACTGCAGCTCAGATGATGTAAAAGATGAGTTTTACAGAAAGCTCTCCGACCTTCTCCGAAAAGCTAAGCGCTCGGATGTAGTAATAGTGGCTGGTGACTTTAATGCTCAAGTATGTAAACCAAGCGATAGGGAAAGACACCTAGGTGGATCTTATTGTGTCGTGGCTCAAAGAACAGATAATGGCGACCGTCTGTTGCAGCTATGCTCAGATAACCGCCTGTTCCTTGCAAATACTAACTTTAAGCATAAGGAAAAACATCTTTTAACATGGCGACCCCCTAATCCATCCCAACGTTGGACCCAAATAGATCACATCGTTATCAGCCACCGATGGAGGGGCTCGATAGAAGACTATCGCTCATTCTGGAGCACATGCCTAGATTCAGATCATGCTCTAGTGCGAGCGCGTATTTGCCTGCGTCTTACTGGACGTAAGAAAGACGCTGCAAGGAAACCTCTTACGGTCCTGTTTAATGATAGTCAAACTAGGAGTATATTTTGGGAACAAATAGGAAAACAATTAGGCAGCCATGTATGTGATGCCCACCCCGATGCAGCATGGAATGATATCCGAAAAGCTGTGGAAACAGCAGTGATATCTGCTAGTGCGGTAACCCGTAAGGTTAAGGAGCAACACTGGATCTCAGCAGCATCTATCGCACTGATAGATGCTCGGAAACTCATTCCACCTGGCTCTGAACATAATGAAGAGCGGAGTCAGCTTAAGCGCAAGCTGACAAGAAGTCTACGCAATGATCGCGAACAGTGGTGGGTAGCGAAAGCAAGAGAGATGGAAAAGGCAGCGGCAATAGGTAATAGCAGACAATTGTTCAGACTCGTTAAGGAAACCGGAATTAGGAACCCGACCGTTAGCGAAACAATCTCAGAGAAAGATGGACATATTATTCATTCTCAATCCAGGAGATTGGATCGATGGGCAGAACACTTTAGGGATCAGTTCAACTGGCCTTCAGCCACACTTCGGTTTCCCACGATCTCTAGTCAACCTGAATGGCAAGTTAATGTAGGTCCTCCGTCCCTTTACGAAGTTGAAAAAGCCATAGGAAATCTGAAACGAGGGAGAGCAGCAGGCCCTGACAGGTTTACTCCTGAGATTTTTAAGGATGGTGGTTCAGTATTAGCAGTGAGATTAACTGAGGTCTTAGGTAGAATTTGGGAACTGGACGTAATCCCATCTGACTGGTCTCAATCACTGATTGTGCCAGTCTATAAGAAAGGACAAAAGTCCTCTTGTGACAATCACAGAGGAATCAGTTTGACAAATATAGTGTCTAAAATATTAGCTTCAATAATACTTCGACGCCTAACTAAAGCTCGTGAAGAACAGACTAGAGAAAATCAGGCTGGTTTTCGACCTGAATGTGGTTGTATAGATCAGATATTCACACTACGTCAGGTTCTAGAACACAGACACACGTTCAGACGTCCCACAATAATAGTATTTCTCGACCTTAAGGCGGCATTCGACTCTGTTGATCGTGAGGTTCTATGGCAGTGTTTGTCACTGAAAGGAGTACCAAAGAAGTACATTAACCTTATACAGGCTCTCTACTCGAACACAACTGGTAGAGTGAGAGCTTATGGAGAACTGTCATCAGAGTTGATTACCTCAAATGGTGTTCGTCAGGGCTGTCCACTCTCTCCATTCTTGTTCAACTTTGTCATTGACGTACTTTTAGAGATAACACTTTCCTCGACTAAATTTCCAGGGGTTGAACTACCAGGAGATTCACTTGTTGACTTAGAATATGCAGATGACATTGTTTTATTTGGTGAAGACGCTGACAAAATGCAGAGTCTTCTGACCACTCTAAGCAACAATGCAAGCATGTTCGGGATGCGATTCTTTCCCTCGAAATGCAAAATGTTGCTTCAGGACTGGGTTACATCGACACCCGAACTAGTGATAGGGAGTGAAGTAGTTGAGCGTGTCGACCGCTTCACTTATCTTGGAAGTCTCATCAGCCCTTGTGATCTGGTGTGTGACGAAATCTCAGCACGGATACAGAAGGCTCGACTAGCTTTTGCCAACTTGCGTCATTTATGGCGTAGGCGAGATATCCGTCTATCAACCAAAGGACGGGTTTACTGCGCAGCAGTTCGTTCCGTCCTACTTTATGGCAGTGAAACACGGCCGGTAAGAGTAGAGGATATTCATAGGCTACTAGTATTAGATCATAGGTGTCTTCGAAACATTGCTCGTATATCCTGGGACCATCGAGTAAGTAACACAGTTGTTAAGAAACGGGTACTAGGTAAGGATGGCAAATCAATTGATGACGTAGTGAAACTTCATCAGTTGAGATGGCTGGGACATGTGTTACGTATGCCCAACCACCGACTGCCTCGACGTGCTATGTTCAGTGGTATAGGAGCAAGTTGAAAGAAAGCTAGGGGCGGCCAGACCAAAACATGGTACAAGTCCATGAAGTCACTGACAAGTGAACTGAGTCATGTGGATAGGTGTAGACTACGTGGTTGGGGACCGCGAGATGATAGCAACCGATGGTTAGAGACCTTGAATGACATGGCTCAAAATCGTTTGCAATGGTGCAGGTGCTTCCACTCTTCGTGTTCTCCTAAATTCTAATCTTCTGAATTCTTTATCTCCCTTATTTTCTATCCAAATTTATTTCACTGGATTATACACTTTAAATGACATCTCCAAACCCTGAACTTCCCGATTACTGTTTATACTCTTACTACCTCTACCACTACGGGATTTGAATCGACCACTGCATCTCTGTGCTAAGGTGGTATGGCAACTCGAACTGATGTACGTACGTACGAAGTTCTACGTTGTTACTGACTGACTATTCCTTATATTGTCTACATTAATTGTACAGCTTTCCAGCTAAAACCAATATTTTGGTTTTGAGGTTTCACGTTTCACTTGATCGTTGGATCAGAATCCTACAAGTACACAGGGCAGTGACATAAAATATTTGGATATAAGCTGCATAAAGTCATCTCAATATAATTGCGATTCGAATAAGTGCTATGAATTTTCCTTAGGATTGCAAAACATTTATCTGTGTAATGGACTTATTGTTTACGTTATATTATATTATAAGTTATGCTGAGTTTTGAAAAGTTTAAAAGCCACTACATCAAAAACAGTTTAAATCTAACCATGATTTGAATATTGTATTATCATTTAACAACAGGTGTGATTTTCTCAGTAGTTAATGCTTAGCAGTGAATGTGTAGTTTAATAGTTCAGTCGTTTGACTTGTCACTTTTTTGTTGTAGATGTAAATTCCATTTTAACTACGTCAATATAAACAACCTAGAAGTGTTTCTATTCATCATAACAAGCGTGAATCCAATAGCAATGTGTTGATTTATACGAGGGTAGTGATTTTCATTGTTTATCTGACGATAAATTTTGTTCGACTATTTCTGACTCTAATTAATATACTTTAGGTTTCATTAGAATAATTTAGTCGTATCTATTGTCAGACGGTTTATGTATGATAAAATATTAAAGTGATTTGTTTTATTATCATTATATATCCTTTTTAAAAATTTCAGTAGAGGTAAATCACAGAAGTTATCATTAGCTAAAGATTCTATACAATCTAAAAATCACACCAATTTTATTCCCAATAACCATTCAACAGTATTTTCATCTAAATTAAAAGAAACACCGGTAACATCAAAATCAAATGATATACTTGATAATCGTCTTAATCAATTAGATGATTCTACAAAAGAATTATTATCATATTATCGTCATAAAGTGGAAACATTAACTGAAGATCATGAAACTGTTCAACGTCGTTTAGATAAAATTTATGATGCTATAGGAAATCAAGAATCACTTAGTTTAGAATTAAATCAACGTGATGCTGAAATTTCAGAATTACAAAGAGCATTATCTGATATGCAGGTAAATTGTGTTCAGTATAATGTGGAAAGAAAAATAATTAATCATATTAAAAGTGTTTATCTACTTACTTTTATATGATAGATTTTATTGTGAATAAATACTGTTTTATAGTTGACTGGCTAAGGATTCCTTCAAGGTCGTTGATGTAATTTATAGTTCCTTCTAATTAACATTACGATACACAATCCAATTATTTTCTATCAACATATACTTTGACTAGTTCAAATTAATCAGATATTTTTATAGTTTTATGGTAAACAGAAGGATTAATCCAACACTAGCCATCAGATTGTTTGACTTGTTCACTGAATCTTAACTTTAAAATACATACAATAAACATATAATCCTATGTAGTATTTTGAATATTTTTGTACATGAAATGACTCAAATCGTTGCAAGACTGTAATTTATGGACGAACCAATCAAATTTAAGGTAGCAGGTCTTGGACTTTGGCGTGAAATTCATTTATATCTCTAAATAGCAGTTTGGCATTATAGCTGATGTCAGCTCATAATGAAAGCCTTAATTTTGATTTTTTACTCTAACGTCCGACAGTCAATCCAAATCTTTGTTCCTCACTCCAATTTTGAGACTTCATTTAACCCTACTAGGTGGATATTATCAAGATTACTTAACTGTCTCTCAAAGGTTGCACATGGATTATCGTTTCACCCAAATTTTCAATGCAAACAAAACCAATTTTTACAAAACGTGATCAGACCAAGGGCCTAGCACAAAATTGTTTTTGACTTTACTTATCTTTGATAATTTTAATGTTAATTATTTACCTGAAGAAGACTGAAGTAAACTGACAAGTGAAACGTTAGAGCTATTTAGTTTTAATTGCTTAGATTTTTACAATTCATCTCGTTATTTTCAGTTGTTATTGTTGTTTGACGTTTTTACATAGTGTAGCTCTTGAAGATTTTAAAATAATGATGATAAGCGTAATAAATCTACATAATAATAAAAACATAATAATACTGATCTAATCTAAGATAGTAACTAAATTAATGTTAATATGTTATACACCCGAGTTTTTTCTGTTATCAAACATTGTCTTATTCCAAAATATTATAATTGGTCGTTAGAAACATGTAACATAGTATTTTAATGTATCGTTACAAGTTGTCACAGTAAAGAAGTTAAAAACGGGAACCAGAAAAAACTTATATTATCCTAACATTTGTAACAATTTGAAAGTCAGTGACTTAGGAAATAAAATCAATTTTAAATAGAAGTTCTAGGAAGTTAATACCCATCACTTATACCGTAGTAAGAAACAATACCAATGACTATTTTTAATCCATATCCCTTTAAGTCCATGATAATTGATGTAAATCGTTTTCATTCTTTATCATACGGGTAGCCATCATTTCATTATTCACTTATGTGACTTTATTTTCCCTTTTATTTTGTTGTCTGTTTATATGCCAACAGAATTTGACGTGTTCTGTAAATCATGAAATTTGTGTGTTTGATAATATTACAGATTATAATATACTCCAAGGTAAATTGTCACTTAAACGTTTAGGTTAGACAGATCTTGGCTACCAATGCAATTCAGGACTACTATTTCGTACTGTTTGGGACTCGCCATATGGGTGTACTTGTATCCTAACTTCGACCTTCACATAGAGACTCGGACCCAGTACCTTTCACTTGAAATACCAGCTCATTATTCACTAAGCTACTGATTCCAGATGGATGCTAACTTATCCAGTCTTTACGACTAATTACGAGACGTTGAGATCTTTATCATTCAATTTGCTTCACTTCAGTATTTACTCAATTTATAAATAGCTACGAATCACCTAATTATTTGTTAGATCAATTAAATTGGCTAAAAAAGAAAACTTACGAATTGTCAAGTAGTAATTAGTCCAGTCAAGTGATTATTTCTATATGATCGTGGATGGACATTAAAACATTAACTCCGTCTTCTAAATTATATACAACGAGAATTCTCCTCATTTTTGTGTTTTCCATCTTCACGCTTTAATGCTGGCAAAGTAACTCGTTCAAAAGTTTGGGAGATTATTTGATAGTACAATAAAGTATTTAGTCGTTCAACATAACTGATAGATCTTAATGACTACTTGCTCATACTTCTGGTTTCTGTTTACATATTTACAGGCCTAGTGATTCTGTTACATAGTTTTATTGAAGAAACTAAGCTTTACTAAATCTAACTTCATTGTAACATACATTTAACTTCATTATTTGAATTTCGGAACAGTTTATCATTTAACACTTTTTATTCATATACCTACTGTAAACAGGTTTATCTTTTTCAAGAACGCGAACATGTTTTACGTTTGTATGCCGAAAATGACCGTTTGAAGATTCGTGAGTTAGATGATCGACGTAAAATACAACATTTATTACAATTATCCAATTTAGGACCAAACGAAATCACTTATTTTTTAAAACAACCTAACATTGAATCACAAAATGTAGTTAATCAAGAAACAGTTGATAATGAAAATGGTGAACATTTCATTGATGACGAGAATAGAAAAGCGGACAGAAACACAGCATGGATTTCAGCTATGGCTGTTAAACCGATCATTCCAACAGCTCCTTCTCAGGGTGTTATGGAATTTACTGCATCAGGAAAAACAATTTTAAAACCAAGCGGAAGTATGTATTTTGTTTCTCTTTGTACACACATTCATAAAAGCTGAAAAGTCAGCTTAAATGGCAATAATGATTGGAGAATTTTTCCATAATTTTACACTAGTTTATCAAATAATAAACAATGTAGATGTTACTTATTCTCAATCAAATTCTACTTATCAAATTGCAATTTAATTACCAGCAAAGGCAACTCGCATCCATCATGCCCTTTTTTGATTTCCAGCTACTGGAGTCGGTGGATACAAATCCTTGGACACAGGTTTTGTGCTATTTGGGAGTCCCTAGCAGAGTGTATCTGCAATCTTGAGGGGACTTATAGTCTTTCTAACATTTGAACCTTTCATCACCCTTCGCTGTTGCATTCAAACCCTTTACCACTGCGCTAACCTAACTGCTCTATCATAAACTTGAGATATTTAAAATAATTGATCGCCTAATAGTCACTAATGTCATGTTTATCTAGTCCATGGTGGCGATAGGCTTCTGTCGGTCTCTACTAGCTCCCTGAAGATTGTCTTTATTCCATGCTGAGAAATATCTTGAAACATAGCTGTTAGAGACTTAACTTTTCCTTCTAACTCCTCCTAGTATTGTTATACTTCCGAGCTTATTGTGAATTTTAGAAAGTTCGCTTTTACTACATCTAAGTAGGTTTGTTTCAAAACCGACTTCAAATGTGTTCAGCTATTCAACTTTCCAACTGAGACATATTAAAAATCCATTAAAGTCATTCTTATGAAGACAAAATTCTCCATAGTATATCTATGGTTTTGAAATGCAAATGATATTTTCCTTATTTCAAAATAACTATTTCAATCTGTTGAATAAGAATGTTCTCGGCGTTTTTCTATTATATCCAAGTCTTCGTTTGGAACTAGCTATAACTTATCTAGGTGTCTAAGCTTACCAATACATAAGTTGACAGTTTCATTCGCTACCGAGTAAGATTGTTAGATATCAATTCCGGAAAATCTTTTTAGTTATAGATTTATTTTAGTGTTGTTTTATGTATGCTATACTACTGTTGTGATTAATTTCTTTCACATTTGTGCATCTTGTTTCTTCCCTCATATTTTCATATGGATCATCCTGGAAAAAAACCCATACAATATTAGGTCAAATTAAATCGGACCATAAAGTTTGTTCTGATCCATCAGAATCGTCTAAATCAGATACAGTTTCTCGAATAGAACATGAAGCTGTGCTAAGAGAACTTGAAATGTCAAAATCTTCTCTAAGAGCACTACAAACCCAATTGGAAGAACAAACACGCAATGCTCGTGAACAAATTGATTCATTAATGGAAGATCGTAAAGCAATACAGGAAGAGATGAACAGTTTACGTAAACGTCACGAGGAAAAAATACGCATTTCATCAGAACAGTATGTTTTATTCTAAATAATGAAGTTGATTTATAACTGATATACTGCTAAAAAATAAAGGGTTTCACCCTCTGATATGTAGTGCCATAATACAATAACACTAGACCTGGTAATAATGTGGCCATACTAGATCACGATACTAGATAATATACCTGATAACTAGATCACTAGATCAGATCACGTGATACACAATTCCGACCAAAAATTACGAACTAAATTATAGACCGAATAGTGGTTTTATTAAGACAAATACAAACAGTCAACATTATGAAACCAAGAGTAAAATTAATTACAATATAATAACGGTTATTTATGTTATTAATTTTGGCGTGTGCATGCTTATCTTCACTCAGTAATCAGTCATGGCCCAGACGAATAATAAATATGTCTGAAACTTTAAATAGATTCTACATCGTGTTAAAATAATAAATTCTTTACCATTAAGTTTCAGCTTACAAATCCTAGTTCATTTACTCCAATTAGAGAGATTGGGTAGCTGTTAAATTCACTGGAATGACGTACCAGAGGTCCATCAAAGTCAGAGGACTATCTCGGCTTCTCTCGATATTTAGATGTGAATATATAATAATAACAAATGGTGCTATAATAGGTATCAATTAGCTGAGGTTAGAACTCACATTCAAGGTGACAGACCCAAAAAACTATCAACTTTCAACACAGGGAAGTACAAAAATAACCAATTTAATGTAGATGGACGGAAAAAAATCTACCAACCAATATGACACCAGTTAATTTACGATTATTACCAGAATGGTGATTTGTGAAGATTGTAGTAATTTTAATAGTTGATCTAGGCTAGGCCGCTAGTGAGAATCTGAAAGCACTAGACGACCCTTACGTTCTAGTATGGGACACCTCAGCAGTGCGCATCCACGATCCCACATGTGGGACTCGAATCAAGGACCTTCGGTCTTACACGTGAATAACTAACCCCCATACCATTGAGTCGGCATCCTCTGGTGTTACTGTCTAAATTAAACTAAACCACGATCTTGCGCAACCCTTCATCCATTGTCTGAGGTGCATAACTGTGTCCACTCTACACGGGTTGAACTTCACTGGTCACGGCTTCCCATTAGATCTCCAGGAAATCCATCTTGAAGCTAGTCACCAATGAGCATGTGATCTTAACTATCTGTAGTTAATTTATGAAATGGTGACTTAATTATCGAAACACTCATCTTTCAACTGGTAGGTCATAGATTCAAACTTCACAGAACGAGTATTAGAAAAGTTGAACTTTCGGAAATATCCTACCTGTATTTTTGTTATTAAACCATTACATACTTAAATTGTTGTATTTTTGTATTCCTATGTTTTAAAGCTTTTTGTTTGACTCATAAACTATTGTTTTATGCTTTACCTATCTTAAGTTGTTATTCATCTATTAAGAACCTATTACTCAGTTCTTCTTCACTTGTTGTGTAGTTATGTCGTTATTGTAATTTCGTAATTATGTTGACATGCGGCCAAGATTTTGCTCTGTATTATTGTCTGAATTTCGAGCCATAGTTGAATTGAGTACAATAGAAGTTGGCTGCAAACTTTTCTTTGAAACCAAGACAAGAAATAGAGGAAAGTTAACGGACATCAGACCAATAGGGGCTTAGCCTGCTGACTACCTCCAACCACCATCTTACCTAGTCTAAATCGGCTCACAGTTAATGATGCAGGTCAGATGTTTAATTAGTCAAGTCTAGGAAATAGTAGACGCGGAATAGAATAAACTCTAATTAGAATTCTGATTCGTGACTATTGCACGCGAAGTCGATCAGGGTCTCAAGACATAACAACCTCAGTATTTAGATAGCCGGATAGGTTTACTAAATTTCACACGAGAAGTTTGACTGAAAGTAAAATACATTAATTGTATTCGATAAATAATTTACTTGCAATACATATTGACTTGTAAAATTCTAAACAGTAGTTTAGAGTCAAAACACATCAATACTGACCTGATTGACAAAATCTGAAGATAAGACGGTTTGCCACCCTCTTCCATAACTAACTATGTCGTTTTGAACATACAGAATACCTTTCACTCATTCCGATTCATCATTTTGACACTAATTCCTGATAGTTTTCATTATCATGGAAGAATTACCAGCCTTTAAAAAAACCATATACTAGTAAATTCAGTATTCCGATTATAATATCTAAGTTCCACGTAGTATTCTGAATAATAGTCTATTTACTGATTCTAAAGTGTTTTTTTTATTGTGTTTATGCCATATTTCATTGGTACCCTATCACATGGATTTCACAGAAATTGTTCAATACATCGAATTGATTATGCATGTTAATATAATTCCAGTCATTTGTATACTTTCTATAGAGAAAATTTTTATGTGCTTGTTCCAACGATTTGTCATTCCTATTGTTCACAATTTTTATTCCCCATTATAAATTAATCTTTTTCTACTGTTTTTGACTAGACTTAGACACTGTCAAGGATTGCTATATGACAGCACTAAGGAATTTCTAGCACAAAGAAATCAATTTCGTCAAGCTGAAAAGGTTTGGATATTGGAAAAAGATAAACTTTTAAGTCAACTCAGTGTTAAAAAATTGAATTCTTCTAGTGTTACTCCATCAACACTGTGTAGGTTATCCAGTATTAAATCATGATACTTTTCATTGAAATTTATCTTCCTGTTTATGTTAAATGTTGATAAATCTTTAACCCAGTAATTATTAGTATAAGAGGCTTGTGGAGATTTTTGAATTTTATAGTTTACATCAAAAAATAATCTGAGTTAGACAATCGTTCAAAAGGTTAAAAGGCTAACCACTCGTCATGAAAATTGGAGGTCCACGGTTTGGTCTTTGGTGGAGTCGTAATGTTCATTGTTGCTGATGAGTGCCTCCATAGGAAGAGAGCTGTTTGGAATTCATAGTCTGTCTAACTAAGACCTTCTTTTGATGTGAACTTCAGGAAGAAAATTCGTAAGTCTGTGTGCTAGGAGATATACAGTTTACCACTGCTACTTTATTGACAGGTAAATGGTTTTATTTTGCTTGGTCTTTAGTGCTGACGTAATTCCATTGATTAAGATCGTGACATGATTAACTGCCAAGTAACTCAACGATAAGACAGAACCCGTAATCATGAATCATTTGAACAAATTGTAATCTCTCAAGTGTTTTGGACCTTTTGCGTGTAAGTCTTAGTTGAGTCAATTAAGTACTTTATCTGCAAATAGTAAGGATTTAAATCATTTTAATATTTGACTATTTATAGCAAAATGTTTTTACAGTGCTTGTTCAAGCTAGTGGAAACCTGTTGTACTAATTTTCTACTTCGTATGCATCTAAATCGATAAATGTAGTTAGATGTGACATACAAAGAATACTTTCAGTGCTATAATTAATTTTTACTATATAATTATATCCTAATCTCTTGAAAACTTTTCTACTTATCACACGATACAAAGATAATGTAAATCAATGCCATTACGTATATCATAGATATTTTGTTATGCAATCCTTAAAAACCATCCTTGTTTCTCTAATTAACTAGTGATTCATTCTCTCCCTCTTAATTTGTGTAGTGAGGTTTTGATCTAGTACACTAATTAGCCATCTGTTCAGTGACATATTGATAACATTAGACCTGTGGTAATAGGGTTATTTTTCTTTTGAAAAAATTGTTTTGGGGTTTATGTAGTATTTTAATTTCTGTTTTCAGCTCGATCCGTGATGCAATTCAGGTTTTTTAGGTCTCACGGCGGCTACTACAACTTTAGACCGCTGATTTGGAATTCAGTGTCCTAATATCATGTTGAAGGTCATTGGTGTGGACGTTGTTGGAGAATCCCTCAATATGACATAGTGGAGATTTGTAGCTCAGGTGGATGATTTTGACGAAGCTTCGTCCTCTAAAGTGGATGGTTTGGTCGTGAAGCTCTCGTTTTTCTTCTGAACAATGTCAGGACAAACTTAAGGTAGAAGTGAAGTATATGAATTTCTCTAAATATGACTCAGCTTGTCTTATTGACCACGACCTTGATTGGTTATTGTTGACCTCTAACCTGCCATTGTCTACCTCTGTTTTGATTGTATCTCACTTTGATTTGATTCTTGGTCCTATATTTGTCTATGATTATACTGAATGGTTGATGGTTGCGATCGATTTCGACGTGTTTGTTAATTACTGATTGACGTGGGTACCATGCTTCTAAAAATTCCCTAGTGCTTTTAGTATTCGCTCTATCAAAGATCCCAACATTTTCCCAGTCAAATGCGTGTCCACAGTTTTCCACATGCATTCATACAAGCGAGGATATGTCATGACATTTGATCGCTAATTGATGTTCATGTGGGCAAAGATGAAGGAGACCTCTCCTTTGTCCGACGTAGTGTTTTTCTTGATTGGAATAGTTTATTTTGCAGGTGATGTTCGGTTTTTCATCTCTTGTCATTTCGTCCTTTGGTTTTCATAGGATTGGTTGAAGTGATTATGCTTGTTTGTGTGCTACATATATTCGGAATGGTTTCGATAATCTCGTAATTTCTGATGTCTTTCATATATATTGTAGGATGACCAGTTTATTGTTTTCTGAACTTGGTTTTGTTTCCGCTGATGAGCTAGGTCGATTTTTCTTGATGAAGTTGAATGGGTGGTCGTTCTTTTGAAGGGTAGCCATTAGATTTTTCCTTCATTTTCCCCCTCTCTAAGTGTGTTTCAGGGTGTTCTCGCCCTTTTGAATAAAGTTTTTACACGGTTGATTTTGTGAGTTCTTGGGTTTTTGCTGCCATGTTTAAGAATTTAATGTTTGTGGGTTGACTTCCGATGTACTTCAGTCTCCAGTTTTCCTATGTCGATAGGATAAGCTGTTAGTCATATGTAGAGAAATTCAAATATTTCACTCTCACCTTAAGTTTGTCCTGATATTGCTCTGAAGAACAATGAGAACTCCATGACCAGACCATCCACTTCAAAAAACGAAACTGTCAAAATCCTTGACTAAGTCAAAACAATTATTAATAATCCCTAATTTAAACTAGTTCTTCAACTGATGTCAATTTATAGTGAGAACTAACTGTAAAACATATCTCACTTTTTTAAACGTAATAGGAAAGCTCAGTTTTGTTTAATAATAATAATAATAATAATCGCCTTATCCAGTGCCATATATTTGGCGACTTTAAAGAATTCTCAACAGAAAATGTGCAATATTACAACAAAATTCCCGTTTTATAACCGTTTGACTAGTAAATATCCGAAAAATCTGTGTAACAAATCTTTGAGCATTGGTTAGCACCCATTGATGTTCATCCGTAAATCCATATGATTAGCTTTACTCTTTTCATTGCCTAATATATTTGATTTATGAATTCTATAATGAATTGCTTCTTGTACCCTCAGGGAACAGAGGAAAGTAGAAGAGGAGTATACGAACTATCATGGTGATACTTACGTTTTTCAGTAATTTAGATCCATTATATTTTATAAATATTTTGTGGAAGCGCATAAGTACAGGAAAATCTATGACAGTAAATATCTCTTTGGTATAAAATTAATGATGTAAAAGTTTGAACAGTTCATTATACTTAATAAAAATCTATTATTTTATTTCCTATTTAAAGATAAGCTAATTAATTTATTTGGTTTTTATTTGTTTTCTCCTTTCTATCTGCTTCAATATTAAAGCTGCTTTAAAAACTGGTGAACGTAATACTTGTTATTCACCTCGAGACAAAATAAACAATACTCTAACAACTATCAATACTACTAATTTATTTAATAATATTCAAAGTTTAGAAGCTCATGCATGGATTGAATTCAATCAACAAAAACAAATTCAGTTAGAGAAAACAATCGAAAATTTAGAGCATCAATTAGATCAATTACAGAAATTATCAGATATGTATAGAGATCAAGTAAGTGAATAAATTGATCTGTTGTATCCATTTATCATTAACTATATTGATAAGGTTGTTCGTTTTAGAGTACTGTTTGATGTGTGTGTGAAACGCTGTGATAAGAAACAGTTTCATGTTTTTAATATTTAAAATGATTGGAAGTAGTCCGATATAATCCAATAAACATTATCGACTAGACAAATATGACTACTGAATGGTCAATCTATTGTGAACATTTTAGTCATATAGGAGGTTGATTGTGGCCTGAGTATTTTAGTGGTGATACCTTAGACTGTGAAACGGGATAATGTAAGTTCGAATTTATCAGGGAACATCAGTTCTATCAAGGTTACAGGTTTACACCTTACTGATGAGTAATAACTGACATGAAATCTGGGTTTTTATATGCACTAATTTTGACCACTTAACGTCAAAACATAGTCCACGTCATGTTGAGTTACTTAGACTATTGGCTATATTTAGAACTTGTTCGATAGGATTCGATCAGCACTAGGGTTCAGACAAGCATGACATTAACTCAATTGCTCAAAGGTCAATTGATGCACAGTTGAACTTATTACATTGATCAACTGAAGTTTATGCATGTGGTTCGTTCAACTGTGTCCTGTACACTCATACGAGATGTATTCTTCCTATTCATTTGGTCTTACTGGTGGTATGTTAATATTTCTTTGTGTTTATAGTTGTTGTGTACAGACACAAAGTTGGGTAATTCTCTGCCTACTACCTTTCTTAGATTGGTAAGATCTATTCATCATGTATTAAAAGTTCAGAAACTGTTCGACATAGTGTTTTATAGCTGACAAATCAAATTCTAATAAAAAACCTTTTATTATATTGAACTGTGCTTATATCAGTCCTCACTAGTCTATTTTCACTTATAACGGTAGAGAACTCTTTTGAGTCGTTTTTAGTTTGACTATCGTAAGCTCATACGAACTCAGGGACCCTGATAGCGCACATTGACGGTTTGTCGAACCTGTGCCTAAGTATACTTCTGTCTGGCTTCCGTGTAGCCCTCAGTAAATGGTAAAATACCTAAATCTTCTTTAAGAAACCCCTCACTGTTTTCACCAAAAGATGATATTGTTGTATAGCTGGTCTGTAAATATGATCACTAATTGCTATTGAAAAATATAAAATACGAAATAAAGTTTTAAAAGATAATATGACTTAAAGCCAAAGTTGTTGGGAAGGAAAGAATATCTATTCTGTGCATATAGTATGGGAAATCAGCGTGTAACAGTAATGATTAAAATTGTAAGCCTATAAACAGAGTTTTTAGGATATTTATAACACGGAGATCGTTTTGTCCGATCATTTATTGATTAATTTAACGTAAAACGTGTATTCTTCTAACTGCACTAACTACTAGTCAATTTATATGACATACATATTAGTTTTATATTTTAAATCAGTTATGTAATCTGAATCTGCCATATCCCTTCATGTTTTGTTGGTATTCAGGTTATTCAATTAGAAGAGGAATTAGTTCGTGCACGTGAAGAAGGTGTCATGTCAAAAGATGTATTTAAAGATCAAGCACAAAAACTTCATGAACGTGTTCAAGTTATGTCACAACGTTATCAGAATTTAGAACGTAGACGTCAATTAGAAATGGAAGGTTACCGAACAGATATTAGTGTGTTGCGTAAAAAGTTAAAAGAGGTTGAACGACAATTATTAAAGGTACATTCTTTGCATTAATTGTGATAATAACGCAAGTTATCATGGCGTTAATATTTTTCCGTTTGAACTCAATGAATGAGAATAAAAAAGACATACCGTTTTTATTAAACCTGGCATATATTTAACTTAAATATTAACTGACAGAGAAATTAGAAGAGTGTGTAGTTTATGAATAACTGCCCATCCACTAAGCAGTTAAATGACAATAAACTGACAGTATAAACAGTTTAGTTAATCTGGTTGTATCAGTAATAAAACTAATACTCAGTGTTTCTGGCTAGGAGATGTTATATGTGGTAAAACTATGACTGACAGTTATGGTAACAACTTTGAAAAAAGGAATGAATCCGTCGAATAAAAGTGTGAAATAGCACTGAAATTCTTAATTTCAAAGGTCAGTTTTATATCATAGTGTTCAAGCTCTTCGACTACTGATCATGATTGTTGTACGGATCTCAACTACATGATTTATACTTACTAACCTAGTTCAAACCAATAGTCAATCAGTTAATAGGCTGATGATATATTTTGGTTTGATCGCCTTTAACTTTTTCTTTTCAATCTATTTGCACATTAATCACCAGTTCATGTTGGGTTAGGAGATATTTATGGATGTGTAGCATATTTCTCAGTCACCCTAGTCGATAAAGATTTACAATCATAGCTATTCAACATTGTTTTGCATGAAATTTTAAGCCAAATTAAATTAAATTGAGAAAACTCAATGATGATTGACAGTCGTATAAGCTGTCCAAAATATGATCTTCTACATTGTGTACTACTGTAGAATACAACTTAAAGCATATAAACTTCTACTTTATCGTCTAACAGCTTAAACTATTGATAATGACTTTATCAAAATGATATAATTATTCATAAAATTGAACCGTTTATATTTTCTTTACTTTCAGTTGTAAATAATCTTAAAAAGCCACAAGCTAACAGATAGGAAAATGGGTAATAATTAGAGTATGTATTCTATTTAACGTAGGTTTTACTTATATACGAAATGTACAACTCAAAAAAAGATTGTATGATGCGATTTAGACTGTTTCAACTGAATATTTCATTAAATGAAAAAATCTGAAGTTAATCAACGAACATTTAAGCATGTTAATAATTCCTACAGTAAATTGTAAAATGATTCCAATGGTAATTAGTTACGATCAACTGTCTATTAAAGTTTCTAAAGGTGTTAACTCCTTTAAAATAAAAAATTCCCATTAGATATTGTTGTGGATGCGGAGGAATAGACCAATAATTATCATGTTAAGTCCAATGGTGTCCTTGGACTTTAAATGGATATTTCCTATTGGTCAATATCTGTTCACTTGTTGAATATTGTACAAAATTTTGTTTTCTATTTTATGGTACGATGTGGTATGCTTGATTGGTATATAAACAAAGTATGTTTGAAATATAATGATTCATATCTCCGAGGCTGTGGCTTGTGTTCTGGACTCAACTGACTGGGCTAGACAGGGAAGCGAGACCAATCGAGACTCTAG